TGTTGCCAGGAGGGGGCAGTTGTGGAAGCATTACCAATCCATCACCCACGACAAGATCGAAGTCATGCAAATGTTGGTCAATCTAAACGAAGACAGAACCAGGTATCCATCAGATGTATATCACCTTCTCTGATAGGGTTCAGAGACATTAGAGTGCAACGCTAGCACATTGTCAAAAATGCTCCTTTCTATGGCCTCCAGTACGCAGACCGAATGTGCCATTCTAAAAATTGATGGCCGGAGGCTTGTAGCTGCAATACTCTAACACTCTATTCCTCATTCTGCGCTCGAGGTCATGGCGCTATCATCTCCTCCTCATTTTAACTCAGTTGATCCATAATTAAATAACTGAATCAAAGTACTCTCAGAGAAGTCCAACTCTTTTCACATGTTACACCGCATTTACTACCACATCTTCTGTTTGGATACTGCAAGGAATGCATCAACGTGCTACAGTTCTACAACCAAATCGCAAACGAAGTCAATTGAAGATACTAATGCTGTGTTCTTCGCACGAAGATGGAAAAGGTTTATGCTGACTGTAGAATGTTCCCGTGATATCGACAACAGATAACACACTAGGAAATAAAGCCAAAATCCCTATGTAAAGCAGAAATTTACCAATCCCGTCACCCTCTCCCTAATTTACTTTCATCTACTCTGATTCTCTTACCTACTATTTCCTAAACCTATGGAAGGGAAAGGAATGGTCCATAAAATGCCCAATTTAGCTTCACACATACTACTTCTGCGATGCATAATGTTATGCAGTCCACTTTCAGAGAATTGCCTTAATGTATCCCTTCTAAAGTAATGAAGCCACTTCATTCTTGCATGTAAGATTTGATGTCTTCTAACATTTTGGCTCGAAAAGTTCCTAGGTACACACTTTTCGTATTCATTCGTAGTAGCACAATTCTCTAGATGCCTTCAGTTGTGGCCGTAACCGACAACCCAAATCACATCTCCCAACTTGCACATGCACAAACAAGCACGCATATGGGAGTCCGATTACTTACTTTGTTGAATTTGTCAGATAAATGCATCTTCGTTATGGGGTGAGGCGGTAGGTTCTTCATCATTATCCCCAACGTTGCAGCTTTAGCAAGAAGCTTTTCCAATGACCTTTGCATCGTCACCAACTCTTGCAAATTCTAGACAACCGAAGAACAACGTCGGGAGGGGAGAGAAGAGGGTAAACAAAAGAAAAAACAGGGACGTAGTAGCGAGCGAAGCAGTTAAAGAAAGTTAAACCATCATGTCCGGTGTTAACTTCACTCACCGTGATTCCTTTCAGCAAGGCACATACATCTTGAGTCATACCCACCGCGGTGGAAAGATTCGTGATCCGTCGCAAGAGTGGATCTGTCATCTCGGAGCTCTCC